TGGTAGAAGGCGGAATAGCAGCTTCCCATTAGTTTCTATGGACGGAAAAGAGCAGATACGGATTAAATGGTTTTCAATGCATTCCTATGGGAAATGCAGATTCTACATAAGAATTTTTCCACTTGAGAACCACCTTCCAATACGGATTAAGTTCTTAAGTAGAGACCCCACTGTAGTGATGTTGCATTGTCTTTGACAGCCATTACTCACAGTACACTTCCACTAGGCTTGTCAGATCCCATGTGCATCTGGTTCTCTCTTGCTTTAGAACATTCAGAGAAGATAGTTTTCCCATTTTAGAACAGCTGTGCTGTACACACTGTCTCGTTTGTGCAGTTATTAAGGACAAAGATTTTGCTTAATAGAATCTGGCAACTGTACAACTCATCCTTCAGAAATCATTGAATTTACCCGTTTTCATTTTATGAGGAGCCATAGTTCTACGTTGTTGACTCTGTAAAATTCTAAAGTTCAGAACTAACTATAACATAGCCTCTCTGGGAGAAAACAAAGGTTGTTTAGCATAAAGTTATAAGAATGTGAAGAAGGAATCCTCAAGGGAAAAAGAAAAGAAAAAAGAGAAGAGAAGAGAAATGCTTGCAACTTGAAAGACAATACTGGGTCCTGGGCATATAGAAGAATACTGAGTAAACTTCTTGTGCATATTCCAGTCATTGAATGAAGAGGTAGCCACAGAACGTTGGGAAACAGCCAGTTCAAACTATTAACTAAAATTATTTGGTAGCAAGTGATGTGGAAAACTTAACAAATTCAGTCTGGTTGGAGATTCACTTTGTGCAACCATTGGTTTAGGCCATGTTCCTTACATAATTAGGAAGTAGCTGAGCAGCAGTGATGTGGTAATGATAGTCAACGATTTTTTCCCAGAATTGTTGCTGACAAATATTTCTTCATTGCTGAGCAGCTCTCTGCTAACCACTGCCTGGATTCACTCATCTGTTTGTCCATTTCTGTGGAACTCCAGCAACAGAAACCCTTAGTGGCATCGAACAATGGGGAAACCCCACTTCATTCTTAATGTGTTCATGAGTTCCTGGAGTTTTATCTAGTTACTGCTAGAAACAGAACTTTGGGTAACAGAGACTGGTCTGCTACAGCAAGTCAGATCCTCTGTGTCATTTGCCAGAAGTGCACTGAATAGTCTGAGGCACACATGGAGCATCAGAGAAGCAGCCTTCTGCCCTGGTGCATTTGTCCTACCTTACGGCTGGGGAACCTTTAGCCCTCCAGGTAGTGCAGGACTAAGGTTTCGTCACGCCTAACCAGCATGGCCAGTGGTGAGGCATGAGAGAGCTGCAGTTCAGCAACATCTACATGACTCCATATTCCCCATTTTTGTCCTGCCTGTTATGATGGTCACATGACACCCTAAAAGAAAAAGTTGGGAATGTTTTTGTTGCATACATTGGAGAGCTGACTGTGTTATATGTGTGTGTTAGATTTGTAACTGTATTCTGTAAGATCACCACTGTACCATATTCAATTTTATACATACAGATTCTTGACACATACACAAAACCACCACAAATCTGCTTGTCTTTTCCTCTTGCATCATTTTGCCAGCATGGACAAGAAGGGTACTGCCCAAGAAGGGAGGGGAAAGTAACGCAATATTCTTGGGGCACTTGGGAATTTTTGCCTGGGAACAGGAAACTCAAATGTCTCTTTCTCTGAATAACTGCATGGGGGTTCATCGGTTGTATATGGAGACATTACACTACCGATTCAGACACTCTGGATCTAGAACATCAGCAACAATTCATCTTAGACCTATTTTATACCTAGGGACAGAATGGCAGAAAATCCCATTCTTAATAATTTGGGTAACAAAAAAATCAAGAATGATCATGTTATTCAGGAAGATCCAAAATTTACCCAATCACTCTGCTAAGTTCATACTTTCTTTACGATCAAGCGTTAGTATACATTTCTGCTATTTGGCAAGCAGTTTGCTAGCTTGGATTAATATGCCAGTGCTTCTTTTACAGTACAGTTTTTCCTACCTTTCCACGCTTCTCCTCCAGAAACTTAATTTCCTTCCCAGTCTTCCAAACACATCTGCACATAATTGGCTGTCACTTACTGTGTGCTCTAATGTACCCAACAACACTTATTTGATTTCTACATTTCTAGAGCCACAGCGCTGCAGAATTAGATAACAGTGTGTTTGTATCTCAGGTATAATTTATTCATTTGTAAATATACTACAGTAAACAAAACTATCCATCACATGGATCTGTTTGCAGAAATAGCAAACCATATGTCCATTACAAGAGGCAAAATTCAGTTGTAGTGTTTAGGTAGAGGCCACTGAAGTGAATATTAACAATATTATGACTCACTTCTGGAAGGAATATAAAATACCTTTACATAAACTACGCTAGTGAGAGGCCACAGTAGGGACCTTCATAGTTCCCAGTTTTTTTCCAATGGGACGTGCAGACAAATGTTCTGCTGGATTGTGTTCACAGATTAGGTATTCAGCTGGATACAGATAAAAAAAGACCTAGTGTTAATGCCTACCCCCTCCTTTTTAAGGAAAATTAAAATTGAGAGCTGACTCAGATATTAACACTTTGTGATGCAGTAAGTAGAGTATCAGACCTTGAGTAAAGAACCCTAACTTGATTACTGTTTTGCCATATCCTTTCACTGACCAAACTGGGACTAATCACTTCAGCTCAGATTTATTTAGTTCAAAAGAGTGGTAAGGATAAAAGTGATGAGAGAGATAAATTCAAGAAATAAACATATTGTAAAGTGTTTTTTGATAAAAACAGATGAGGTCCTGGGGAGTATGATCCTAATCACTGCAAAACCTGTTTGGCATAATTATAGAGAAAATAATAACATTGTGTGGAAGAAGCATTAAGTCAAATTAAGGCCATGAAGGGCAAACAGATGGGCTCCAAGCACATTACAAAAAGTTTTACTGAAGAATCCAGGCATTGGGGAAGTTGCAGACAACCTCTTCGTCCTTTTCATTAATACAGGCCTGTTATGGATAGAAAAGGTTTCAGTAATCATCATATGACCAGTTGAAACATGCAATTCAGTTTTCAAATATGCAACTATTTTTGTGGGGTGGTTTTTTGTCTGTGTGCAAAGCAGAATGAAGGCTGCTCCAGACAAGACTACAGTTGGCAAGAAGTCTCAAAGTGTGGTTTTCTCAAGGATCCCATGGACTGAAATATATTTTGTGAATGCAAAGCCAGAGACTGATGATTCAATCCCTGACAGAGAAGCCACAGGCAAAAAGTACCCCTAAGTCCCACATATCTGACTGGGGAAATGCCCAGTTAATTACCTTAGTCCCACTCATTTTTAGGGAATAGCCATACCCAACATCCTCTGTTTGTGACTGAAGGTTAATCCTAGCATATTTAAAAGTTGAACTAATTTTTAAAGAGTTATGTTAGTGATTTCTATGCGTAATTTAGAAATTTGAGTCACAGTTAAAGTACAGTATACATTACAGGTAACCAATTATTAGAAGAGGGAATGCCTTATGTAATTTAGAAATTTGAGTCACAGAGTTAAAGTGTACATTACAGATAACCAATTATTAGAAGAGGGAATGCCTTAAATGCTGAGATCATCTACAGTAATTGTCATAGCAGGAGCTTTTCATCCCTTTTGTAGTTTGTAAAATAACATGTCTCTCTCAACATTGGTAAGTGAGCATGCTCTTTCTTTGCAAGCGTGATTGCTCAGTTCATGAAAGTGTGTTGTAAACAGTTTTCCAGAACACTGATGTAATTTTTGCTTCTGACAATGGACAATCTGCAAAGTATAGTGTAGCCCTCAAATAACAGGCTTTGCTGTGTGAAACAAAATTTAATAATCTGGTCTCTGCAGCCTGACATTTATTTGTTGAGCCCTAAAAACTGGGCTTCATACTCATATATTTGCAAGTTTTTTCATTTTGTATCAGAACAGAGAAATCAGATACAGTGGTGCCTTGCATTATGATGTTAATTCATTCCAGCGAAATCACTGTAGAATGAAAATGCCATAATGCGAAAATAAAAAGCCCATTGAAACGCACTGAAACCCCTTCAATGGGTTCCAATGGGCTGGAAACTCACTGTCCAGCGAAGATCCTCCATAGGGCAGACATTTTCGCTGCCTGTAAAGCGGGGAATCCGTCCCAGAAAACAGCGGGGAGCCGTTTTATTTACCCGGGGGCCATTTTGAAACCGCCGATCAGCTGGAGGGAAATTGTCATTTTGCGAAGAATCGGTTCCTAAAGCAGGGAACCAATCATTGCAAAGCGAAAAAAAGCCCATTCAGACCATCGTAAGATCGTCATAATGCAGTTTCGTCATAATGCGGGGCAATCATAAAGCGAGGCACCACTGTACTGTATATAGAAAACTGCACTATACTTTCAGTTAGCAGATTTCACCAGCACTTACCCATGTGTGTTATAGACAGACATAGACTTAAATCCATTTTACCAGTTTAACTTTTGCACAAAGATTTTATCGTGGTGCTTTTAGTAAATGTTGGTTTCTTCCTTCCTCAGATGGTCTTTTGGAGTTCTGCTTTGGGAGATAGTCACTCTGGGAGGTAACCCCTATCCAGGTATTGCTCCTGAGAGACTATTTAACCTCTTAAAAACAGGCTATAGAATGGAAAAGCCAGAAAACTGCAGTGAGGAAATGTAAGTAACATGATCCAAAAGATTCCTTTATCTGATGATATCCTTAAAGTATCATGATCAGCTACTCTGTGTTAGGTGTTTTCCACTATGAAGATATTGTCACAAGGCACTGCAAATGGCTAACAATGGGTGCAAAATCCACTGGGAAGAGATTTCCACTCCCATCATTATAAAGAATGTGGTAGACTGACTTGAGAGCCTTTTAAAAAGTAACTTGTATCAGGTGAGGTGTGTGCTTTCACCACTCACAGGGATCAAAAGCTTTCCTCTTGATCCCTGTGAGTGACCCCTGCAACCCCCCCCCATAACCACATGACAAGTACTTGCAGGGACAAGATTTTTATTGGGGCAATTCAACCTCTTAATGAGCCAACAGGAGTCAACCATACACTTAGGAACTTTTAGGGCACCAGGAAGTTGACTTCACTCCCAAAAGGCTCAAAAGGGAATAGAAACTCCACAACAGTCTTTTACTGGGATGAGCGGAGACCCATCTCCCCTACAAGTTCCAAGATGCCATGCAGGTGGGCTAAGCAAGGAGTGCTGCAGCACAGGTGCTGGATGCAAGCACTTGTCCTTAGAGTAGTGCAGTGTAGGCTGCTTCCTACACTACCCCTCCATAGTCTCTGCTGGCGGCATATGTGCAGTACTCCTCCTCCCTAGAAGTGTGCTCAAAATTTATCTTGACCTGGTTTGTCTCTCCAGAGTAGTGAGGCACAGTATGAGGAGGAACAGCCGGAGGGCCCTCCAACTGATGGCAACTGGGAGGTCTCTGCAGAGTAGCCACTTGAGTGGGCCCTCCAACTGACGGCAACTAGACTGGGAGGTCTCTGCAGAGTAGCCACTTGTACCTTCTGCTTCCTCTGCCTGAAACACATCCATCTCTGGTTCTCCAGCCTCTTAGCCGCCTTCCACCTGATCTACCTCCTAAGGTGGCATGGAGAACTCTACCTGTATCAGAATCATGGCAGGGGATAGTCTCCCAGCTGACCTCAAATGCCTCCCAATTGACCACATCAGCTCAACAATCCTCCTCTCCTTAAGTCCCATCTCCACCACGGCCACACCTGTGGCTTCCCTGCTGCTAATGCCCTAGTCCTCAGGTGAACTGTGGGCCAGGAGTCTTGCCCTGACACTTGGGGAGGTGGAGATCCCACTCTCGCCAGCTGGAGGATCAGGGCCAATCCCATAATCCCTATAAAAGACACAGAACACGCAAAAACCTTTCAAGGGACATGGGACAGGGAATTTGGATTTCTTGTATCACCTGTTACATCATGTCATAGTAGGTGCAGGTGGTGCTCGCCAGGATCGCTTTCGCAGTGTTTGAGCTGGTGACTTTCTGGACATTGATTGTGTCATACCTGGTTAAAGTGATTGCTCCATAATGGGAACTCTTGTTGGGGCAATATAACCTGGCTGGATCAGCTGAGTTAGCCAGAAGAGCAACTGATATATGTCGGATCATGAGCTCCAGCGTTTCTTGAAATGAATTGGCATCCTTATTCTCTTTATTTCCTGTTATGACACATGGAATTGCAATTTTTCAGGGTGTGCATGTATGTGTGTGTCTTCATTTTCCATCATAACACAATAAATTGCCATTGACAAGATGAGGCCAGAACAGAGTAGAAAAAACAAAGAAGAGAACTTTCACCTTTCTGTCGTGTTGATAATACATTGTAAAGCAACAGACTCAGAGCAAACATGCATTAAAAATATGCCAAGAGTATGAGCTGAAATTTGTTGGGGAAAAAGCACATTTTTCTTTGGTGCTTCTAGAGGAAGTTGGACTGTGCAGCAGGCTACAAAAAGCAGGCACTGTGATTTTACGCAAAGTCTCACTGTAGATTTGTAAGAGGCCCTAGATTTCTACACACTCATGACTGGATGAGCCATTCTGTCCTTCCATGGAATATAGGTAGCTTTTTAAATATTATCTTTTTGGTCTGAGAAACAAAGTGTTTTGGGTGAGATTTTTTTAATATGCTAGTGTTTAGAAGGCACTTTGCAGCCATTTCTGTTTTTTCCTGAACAGACTTTTTGAACTAAGAAGAAAAAAAAATGAAAGAAGCCATGGAAAAATGAGGGAGGGTTACAAGTGGCAAATGGTGTCATGTAAAACCTCCATAAAATTCAGTGAAAGAGACAGGATGATGCCATGCTAAAAGCCTTAGCCAAAACCAACTATAGCTGTTGCATTTCTACAAGCAGCTCCAAAACAGCCAGAAGTTACAGTCAACTACATGGGTAGAAACTACAGTAATTAATGGGTCTCATATTTTCACCTAGAGTTGGTGCCACCACCTGGCTGCCAGCATCGTGCAGTTCTGTCATTATGACATGCAGAAATTTGGTGATTCATATGGTAACCCAAGTCAGGCAGGAGCTGCTCATGTAAGAGGCAGCTCTCATACACCCAAAAGAGTAGATAAAAGACTCTGGTACCTGATGGTTCTTGAAGAAGTTTTGTTTTGTTTTAGAACAGTACCTACATAGCAACCTAGACTTCTGAGCAGCTGAATAAGGCTTCCTTACATAGAATATAGCCTATAAGGCAATTGACCAAAGATGGTTTTAAAAAAAGAAAAAGAAAAAATCTTCAGTGCTAAAATCAGCTTGACTACGGAGGTTGTAGCAATTGACCAAAGATGGTTTAAAAAGAAAAAGAAAAATCTTCAGTGCTAAAATCAGCTTGACTACGGAGGTCGTTATCTGACATTTTTAGCTGTTCCAGTCAGCCAAAAGTCATGCAGTATATAGAATCTATATATGGTGTCTTCTTATGTAGATTTCCACTTCAGGGCTTTGCCGCGTTTAAAGCTATTTTTAAAGGCTTCCTTGGATATTGTTTGATCAAAATGCAGGGTATAATTCGTAAAAACAAATTATATTTACTTCTTTATGTTAAGGATGCACAATCTACCCCCCGCTTCTTTTCTTGGGGTATATTACACAATTTACTAAAAACAACAGTATCATAACAAAGGGCAAATAAAAGAAAAATATAACTTACCTTAACTAAAACAACATAAAAATCAACATCCAAAATCAGGCATCAGCTTGCAAAATTTTGGCTTATAAAAATGAAATTAAATTATGTGGACAGGAAAACCTTAGGGGAAAACCTAGAAGATTCTCTGGGGGAAGTGGAAGTTGATATCTACTTAAAACAGTCATTATTTTGGACACAATTCAGTCTTATGCATCAAAGTTGAGAAGTGCAAGTGCACCATAGATCTCATGGAGGAGAAGGCATTCTGAGAGAGAGAGAGAGAGAGAGAGAGGTGGGAGAAGGTTTGGCTCCCATCAAGTATTTATGAGAGCATGCCAAGAACTAGGAAGGGTATACAAAAGGAACCAGTACTGGTTACACTACCATGTGCAACTGACGTGTGGCCATAAGAACCATAATTTCCTCCATTAGATTATTGCCCCAATAATGCTTTCCCTCACCCCTTGCGTGCCACATTCCTCTTTTGATTGGATTCACCATGGGATCCAGGTGGGAATCACCTATCTAGCTTGAAGAAGAGTTTTTTCTGTTGTAATGTGTGGGGGAGCCTTCAGTTTCCTTGACACTATTTCATCCACTAAACCTCAGACCCAGCTGTGCATGTGAAGGTCTCTGTGTCCTCTAAGCTTCAAATGGAGGTCTACTAGGGCTAGAAGACACCCCTGTATAAGAACATTGGGCTAAAGATGCAGAATACTTTCTTCATTTATAACATAACATCTTCCATGTTTTCTGGCAGGTACAACGTGATGCTTCGCTGTTGGAAGCAGGAACCAGATAAGAGACCAACATTTGCAGAGATTAGTAAAGAATTAGAGAAGATGATGGTAAAGAGTAGGGTAAGTGCCTTTTAAATTTGTATACAAGCGAGTGGGTACAGTTTTATTTAAGACATAATATCCATTTTCCATTCTACATCTTTGAAATGAGCTTCGATGACAAGTCCAAAAAAGACTAAATGATAGAAAGTCCAGTTGAAAGATCAGAAAAAATAACTATCTAGTACAGTGGTTCCCAACCATTTTTGAGTTGTAACCCCCTTTTATAATAGCCGAATAAACTGCGGCCCCCTATCCCGGAATGTTTGCATAAAAAGGCATTTTTAATGCGGTAAAGTTATTCCTTCTCAGAGAGTTGAAACTTATTTCTCCTCCAAAGTGTCTGTTTCTCACATATATACACATACATGCTCTGAAAGGTCAAGGAAAAATTGTTTAACAAGGGCTACAACACATGTAAAGTGACCCACAACCCCCCAGAAAACACTTTGTAACCCTTTTGGGGGTCACAACCCCAAGGTTTGGAATCGCAGATCTAGTTGGAGATTGAAGGTCCTGGAGATACTAGTCTAAGGAAACGTCTAAGAAAAAGATATAATTGTATGCCACAGACTGAAATGGAAGAGGGGCCTTGCAACAGAATATGGTAATGCTGAAAGCTTTTGTTCACTTCATGCCATTCTCCATCTCCTATCCCTGTTTTCTCATTGAACACCAGAAAATGATCTACCCCGGTGATAGGGTGGTTCTGTTTGTTAATTTTTTTTAAAGATCTGTGTGTCCCTTCTGTCTATATTTTCCAGCCACTCCACTCCATTCTCCTTCTCATACAGTTCTCTCTTTTTTTCCTTTTCAGCAGTCTCTAGGCCTTTTAAAAAGATTTTCCATCCCTTAGGATATTTTGTTAATAAGGGTTTTTTTTTCCCTACAAATCTCTGCATTTCCCTCAGTCTGCTAATGGCTTCCTCTTGTATTTGAGTGATGTGGGATGATATAAATGAGAACTTTGGCGTTAGGATGTTTGTATCATAAGATTTTATTTATTATATTAGTGGTTCTTAACCTTTTGTTACTCAGGTGTTTTTGAACTGCAACTCCCAGAAACCTCAGCCAGCAGAGCTGATGGTGAAGGCTTCTGGGAGTTGCAGTCCAAAAACATCTGAGTAACAAAGGTTAAGAACCAGTTTTTTATACCACACAATCTAGTGGCCTTGCCACTTCTCTGGGCAGTTTCTAGCAGTAAAATAAGCATACAAAGGTCATCTTATCCAGTGGCTGAAGTTCTGTACTATGTGGGCTTAACTCAACATTTCCTGGACATGTCCACGAAAGCTTACATTAAAATACAATAGTTAGCCTTTAAGGTGCCATATATTTTGCCTTTTGTTTTGTTTTGTTTTGTTTCTTTGCCTGATATGTTTGCACGGACTAACACGGCTACCTCTTCTAAAATGACATCCACAGTAGTTAGAAGAGCACCAAGGCAGAACTGCCGCTAGTGCATTGCACAACAGTCACAATGGGAATCACATGACCAATTGTGCAATTCCCTGTTGCCTCAGTGTAGTGCCTGGCAGATTTACAAAGAGGATTTCTGTCAATATTGCATCTCCAGCTGTAACTGTTTATGAAGTTTTGCCTGAACTAAAGCCTTACCCTTTCTGATTCTAGCTGGTCTTTAGTAATGCGCAGGATACCCTGTAGTACATCCAGTGCTTCTGAAATGGTTCCCTTAACATTGAATGAAAGTTCACTCTGAGAGCCTTCCATGCTGTGCCCGATAATCGTACTTGCTTCTCTCCCACGACCCTGGAAGAAGGACAAGATTGTGGAGAGAGGAGGGGCAGTTTTCCAAGGTGGCCTGCCAAACACACTATGTTAACTTGCTGGCAAGGAACACAACTCATGGGGAGTAGTAACTGAGCATATGTCGAAGGAAGTGTGTCTAGTATTACTCCAAACAAACGTGTCTCCAAGGATACAAATCTTGCAGAAAGCAGAAGTTAATGATCTCATCCTACACTGAGCCTTTAGTCACCCAGTTTAAGAGATGAGAAATGCAAGTAGAAATGAGAGCCAAAGGGGGGTGCATTGTTAACCAGCCTTCTCTTTGTCTGCTTAGGACTATTTAGACCTTGCTGCTTCCACCCCTTCTGACTCGCTGCTTTATGATGATGGACTCTCAGAAGAGGAAACACCCCTCGTGGATTGTAATAATGCTCCCCTCCCTCGAACCCTCCCTTCCACATGGATTGAAAACAAACTCTATGGTAGAATTTCACATGCATTTACTAGATTATAGCAGTGCACGCACACACACACACCCAAAGTGATTTTCTTCTGCACTGTCCTCACACTCTCTGTAATACCCTTTATAATATTATTTGTCTGAATGAATCCAGTCAAAATTTGCTTGGCAAGTCTTTTCTTTTCTTTTCTTTCATTTGTCACTGTCAAATTCTGCCTTAGGCTCTTACTTTAGCCGTCTTTTGCAGCTGTGTTTAAAACTTTTTAAAAAGGATGTGAAAACGTACATTACTAAATATATATTGTATGTTAAAGAAGAAGAAAATCCTAGATCAGGGAAAGACTCTCAGGGGACATTTAAAAAAAATGCTAACAAATATCCAATTAAAACTATACTTTTGTGTTATCTATTGGGGTGGAAGATTTTAAGTGCATCATTGTATTTAGCATCTCTCATTTGAATTGACAAGAGAGTGGAGGGTTGTCTTGTTTTCCTTCTTGACAATATAGTGTATCCTTCCTATTTCGCTGTTAAGGATCCATTCTTGTTTTTATTTGGATGGATTTCTTAATTCCAAATGTCTGTATATTTTAAGTTCTCGGCCATGGTCGCTTACTAAGTTATGGAATTTAAGGTGGGGGTAGAGAAAGGAGTCAGCTTACTCTTGGTCATGCGGTTGGGAGGAGTCAGAAAAGAGCCAGTACAGCTTTTGTAGCTCTGAAAGGTGATCTGGTAAGGACCACATGAAAGAAACCTCTCCTGTTTTCACATGCTTTTGGTTTCTCATAAAAATGTCAGCATTTAACCCATGTTTTGAATGTTGTCGCAAGTGTCTTAAAAGGAATGTGCTTTAATATTGTGGTGGTGAGATGGACAGTAAAGATGGTTCTTGCCAAAACTCCTACATTTTTGTCTCATTTAAATGCTCTCTATCTGCTAGTGATGCTTTTAAATTACTTCTATAGAAGCCATGTCACTTTCCCCCTAGGCCCATTGTTTTTATTTCCTATGATTAAGCCACTGATTGGGAGCCTAATTTCTCAGCGCCAATTCTTAAAATTCATATTTAGACCCTGAAATAAATACACATTTTAAAGTGGTTAATTGCCAGGCTAATCCTGCCGTGACCAAGGAGTACTTCAGATGCTCCTTTGAACAGGCTAGAACTATTACAGTCAGGCTCCCACAGAGAAACTTGAGCTAGGGTTTATTTTGCAGTGTCTTAGCTTTAATTAGGCCTGTATAACCCCCCCCCCCAAAAAAACCTAGACAGGTACCACCAAGTAATTCAGGAAGAGGAAGAGGACCTAAAATGAAATATGACCTTTCATGTATGTCAGTGCCCCTATGGAGCCTATTCTGGGGCCTCCCTTTTAAAAAAAAGGAAAAAAGAAAGACAAGACATATGCATTCATCCTATTGGCTTCATGGGACGTGTTTTCAGGACTGATACATGCATGCTTAATATTTAAACTTCCTAGATTTGGGCACTATCTAGGCTTATTGCTGCTTTGAGCACTTTATGTACCACAGGAATACTACATTACAATAACCAATCTTCTGCTGTATTCCCATGAAATATAACAATCTGAGATCCAAAGACTTAACCAGGAGCAAATGTATTAGCTTGCACTGGGATATATCAGAAGAGCACTTTATTATTTTCCTCTCCCCCCCCCCCCAAATGGTTTTTGGCCTTCACTGCAACTTGTGCTTCTGTGCCTTTGAAACACAGTTCTCCATTTGACTGAGGGGTTTTTAATTTTAAAAGGAAGGTTGTATTTTGTAATTTGGCTTGCAATTTTTGAAGGGAGTTTTGCCAAGGGCCTTACTGTCTGCACATGAAGTTTTGGTTCTTCAGTGCAGAAAAAATTATCTGTTTTCATTTTTAGGCATGTCATACCCGAACTGGCCTGAAGAGAGCCCCGCTCCACACACAAGATGCGATGGCCCTAAGTCTGTCTTTTCAAGATATGCAAATGATAGTGTATATGCTAACTGGATGGTTTCACCCTCAGCGGCAAAATTAATGGACAAGTTTGATAGTTAACAATTTCTTGGTGAAAGGTAATGACTCAGGAGGGGAGCAAATGTCCAAAGAATGGTCATCCTCTTGGCTCATTCTTTGTATAATAAGAACTGGTTGAAGCAACAGGAATTACTAGAATGGGAAACTTCCCCCCTACTTTTAGTAGTCGCTAAAGTGGTGTTTTCCCCCTCTTGTGATAAATACTATAACTGAGTTACTCCCCTTTCAAAGGCATATCAAACTGGGTCACTTGATAGTTCCAGTGTTTAGGGGGAGTATTTTTTGCCATTGTCTAAGTAATCTGTGTTGGTAGATATGTATTAGTTGTGGCCAGTGGACTTCATCCTTACAGTGTTCAGGGCAATGGCCCAGTGCTGGAACCGTCATAAAGGGGTGTGGTGGAGGAAGGGAAACCCTGTTGTTGCATTATATACTGTGATTTCTATGGTCATTGCTGAGAAAAGGCAAATTGATCAAAGTATGAAGCACAAATTATGTTACGGGAACAATCTATGCCCCAAATTCCTGAGCTTGCTGTATAGTTTTACCATGTTGTTGGCAGTAACAAATCCTGAGTTGAAGGGGTTTTGGAACCAAGAACACCTGAGCGGCTCAAGTCAGTACTGAGAGTCAGCTTTTGGAGTCTCAGAAACATGCGGAAATGTATTGTTCTGTCTTAACTGGAAAACAGATTTCTTAAATCAGGGTTAAACTGTTCTTACCTTTAGCACAATGGAAAACTTTGATACAAGATATAGTTTTAAGAGAAACATGATCACAAAGTACCCACCTCACACAACTAATTTTCCTTCACATCCATTTCACAGATCTCTGAATGTGCTCAGAACTAAAATGAGCCAATAATACAAAGGGATCTGGTTTGAAATCATACCAAGAGGATTTTCAGTCCTTTCTGCTCAAAAAAGTCTTGCCATCCATTGCATAACCAGTGGGACAGTGCAGAAATGGTACTGTTTCATTGTTAATGCATTCTCTCTCCTTCCCTCTTTAATTGCAGAAAAACAATCAACAGTTACTGAAACTGACCATGAGCAAGATTAATTGAGGTTCCCTGTACCTTAGGATCTGAGACTACTGTTGTACACAGATGGCCTTTCAAAATTCTCCATCCTGTTTGTGGGCAGAGAATTTCCAAGGGAAGGAGAAATTTGCCAACAATTTTTGTAATGTGGGGCTTAGATGTGTAGCAAAGCTTTGGGGGTTCCTCCTCCTAAGAATGTTTTTTTTCTCTCATGCCCCTGAAAGTGGTGGCATGATTCACTGCATTGACTGCCTTTTTAGGGCCTGTCCAGATGGGGGAATTTGGAGTGGGCTTGTTCACACTTAAAAGGTTCTTATCTTCAGTGTTATTTATTTCATCTCTCACTTAAGCGATCCTTTGGTTCACACTGGATATGTTTATTCTCCTGTGAGAAGGATCCATACAGGTCTTTGGATTATCGGTTTACTTGTGAGCAAAGTTTGCCCAATTTGCTCACAAGTAAGGAGGTAACAGCAACAGCAGCCAAGTGTAGCAGTGGTGTGAGGGGAAAGCATTGGGGTGAAGGTTAGAGAGATGGAAGGCAGGGAAACCCCCCCACCCCTTTTTCTTTTCCTGCCTTTCTTCTCAGCTGGAGCTCTGCTAGAGCTCATGACATCAGCATAATCCCCTTTCCTGCCTTTTTTCAGGCCGTCATTTTTTGTTTAATAAGTAAGTGGAATATTGAAATAGCAATGCATCAATATGGCATTGTATTAAAGTAGTGCTATGCAAGTTAGGGAAATACTATAAAAAAAGATGACAACAGAGATGGGGGATTTGCTATTCTCCCTTTTGATGTCACAACCCACCTAATATGTCACAGGGTTGTCACATCAGAGAACACTGCCCACAGCTCCATATGGATGCGAGCTAACTGTCCACACAGGCTTCATGATGGGATAAATAGCTGAATTGTATACCCAAAAGCCTTAGCGATATGCCAGAAAGAAGCGGGACAGCTGTTAAAGGAGCAGATGATTTGATCTATGTGGAAACACATGTGGATGCCATACTTTGGTTCAAACCCAAGTTTACCTACAGTGATTCAAATACCCATATATATGCTGTGTGGCAGATATAAGGGAGGCAGTGTCATGTCATTTTCAAGGGGGGAGAGTAAAGCTTGTGTTACAGCATAAGTTACACCAATTTCTCAAAAAAAAGTATCCCCCCCCCCTTCAGATGGTGTCAGTCTTTCTGCCTCATTGTCAGGGCACTTTGGTTCTTTTTCCCTTTTTTTAAGGTTACAGTAATAATTTCAACTTGGCTGAGGGTACTGCATTCATATTTATTCTTTTTGTGAATAATCTCTTCCTCACTTTGAAACTTCCCTGATTATCGCACTTCCTGATTGGAAAAAACATTGTGAAGAGAGTTACCTTAACACATTTTCCCTCAGTTTTAATTGTGAATAAGTCGGACAGGGTGGGGTGGGGGGAGACTGCAAGCTGCCACAGAGATAACTGTATGGTGAAGGACAAGATATGTACACTTCTTAGCCACCTCATAAGTAAGGTAAGCACAAAAATCCTGAACTTCACCCATGAGAATTTCTCCTGTTTTTCCTCTTCTGAGGAAAATGAGAATGGTCTAAATTTCTTACAGGAGAGACATTTTTTAGGAAAAACATTACTTGAAAACCTCATCAAATTGCTTTCAGACCATGGTGAAAAGGAAGCCCTGAGCCACAATTAATGATGGTGTTGACCACTTAATTAATTGTGATGAAGATGAAGGGACCATAGAGGTATGCAGACAAGTGCTTATCTGCATCAGCTCCTGACAAATCCTTAACTTAGACAACTGTATTTCCCTCCATTTAAATCATATACAGACAAAGCCTTTTACTCAATACAGTCTTTACTTTTTATTTGTTCATTACTTTTTTGTCAGTCTGAGATGTTTGTTTTTCCTCAAAGAAAATAAAGCTAATAATGGATGTGATGTTTCAACTGTGGCATTGTGTTTTGGAAGATGATCTGACTCTTACAGAGCTCAGCTGAAATGATTAACAGTCTCTGCATTACATTGCTGTACCTTGTTGATAATTTCATAATGTTAAAGTCCAGGAAGATGTGTTTATTTCCAAAGAATGCTGGAACGTTAACCCATATGCTTATCCTTTTTGGGTAATCTTGCATAATCAAAAATTATACCAAAGTATTGCTTCTGTCTCTTAGGTTTCTGCTGTGTAGTTCTGTGTGTCTCCATTACCTGTCCCAATTATTCCAGAAATCAATGAGTCAGATTGCCAAAAACTGTAACCACTCTCTTCATGTAAGAGGTCTGAATGCCTCACTGGGATAAACTGGTTTGAAAATACACCTGCTCTTAGACAAAGGGATAGGAGTGTTTTCATTCTGTAAGCTAACTTCTACACTAGACACTGTGTTTACAAACAAAATTATATAACTGCCTACAGAGATGTGAAACAGTCTTCAATATACTGTAACAATCATCCATCTCAAATAATAAAAATGTAAATGTCATGGACTTGCTAATTGATTGTTGTTGAGAAGAACTGTTTGTAAGAACTGATAGTTAAAATACGCATTCCTCATTGTGACTCAGAATTCAGTCTGCATGTGCCCACCTGAATGGGGTCAAAGGAAGAAACTGCAGACAACGAAGCCCTTCAAGCCATTCCATCTACAACAGTCTTAAGTTGTACAACTTTCTTGTCACCTCAGATATTGCAGCCATTCCTCACAGGCAAGATGCTCCAGCTTCTTAATTCTTTTGGTGTCCATTTCTGCACCAGTTACAGCTGCAAAATACCCTTGTTCGGCTGTAGTGACTACAGCTATATACAGGGTAAGATACACCAACTGGAGTCACACCATAGATTTGTATAAAGGAAATGGAATACTGGCAGCTTTATTTAGGATTCTTTAATTATTCCAAACATGGCATTTATATTCTTCAAAGCAGCAGCATATGGGGGTAGGGCATTTCTTCAAGCTATCTGTATCACTTTTACTTGCTGATACTAAATACAGTGGTGCCTCGCTTAATGGGCGCTCCGTTTAGCGATGAAGCCGCATAGCGATTAAGTTTTTGCGATTGCAAAAGCGATCTCATTGCGATGTTCCCTATGGGGAAAAATCGCTTTGCGATGATCGGTTCACTGTTTCGCTTACCAATTATCGCATAGCGATGATTTTCCAACAGCTGATCGGCAGTTGCAAAATGGCCGCCGGATTAAAAAAATGGCCGCCCTCTGTGTTTAGGGACGGATTCCTCACTTACCGGGCAGCGAAAATGGCTGGAGGATCTTCGCTTAAAGGTGAATTTTTAGCCCATAGGAACACATTAAACATGTTTTACTGCGTTTCTATGGGCTTTTTAAAATCGCATAGCGACGAAATTGTTTTGCAGCGGTTTTTGTTGCATGGATTAACGTTGCTATGTGAAGCACCACTGTATTTGCCATTTAATGACCACTCAGTCCTCTTCATGATTGGTACACTCTGCCTTCAACAAGAACAACAGCATCCTTACTGGAATTTAAAAGTTGGTTCCAAAAGTGGTCTTTTGGCGTAACATACACAAATAAGACAGATGATGACATCATCTGTCAAGGGGACTGTTTATCCTATCACACACCCCCACTCAGATTCTGCAGCTCCCGAGGGGGTCTCTTTTCTGAGGAAGCTTTGAGAACCTCAGGATGGTGGGGGAAGTGGAGCCTTCAATAGCCAACAGTTGCCATTGGATGGCTGGTCGTGGTCCATATCCCAGCAACAGTGATCCTACAACAATTTTTGGCTATTAAATGCCTCCTGTTCCCAAGGCTCCCAAACGCTTCGCCAGGACGAAAGGCAATCCTGAATGGCGAAAGTAAGCTTTTAGCTGATCTAAATAATCCCATCACCAGATGATGATGTAATCTGGTTTACACTGTAAAGTTGCTCAAGAGACCATCAATAGATCTGAGCTAGAGAATTAATTGTGAGCTTTATGTACCAGAAAACCCTTCTGGGTCTTTGCCTGACCACCTTTTCTTCAAATAGATCTGAGCAATTCCATAGAAGTCAATTTGATATTTCATCAGGTAACATGGCTTCTTCCAAGTTTTTACAAACAGTGCCACACACAATTCCTGCCCTATGAGCATCCAGATGCACAGTTTGTACTGTAAACCAAATATAGATTTTGCAACACATGGAAACTATCTACAACAACAAAATCCTGTCCAGTGTGCCAGTAATGGGGAGCTGGTAAGAATGTATACCCATATGTTTAACCAAGGCATAAAGCAAGATGCTATTGTGCTTCTGTTGTGTGTGAAGACGTGCGGAGGGAAATTATGTTAATCAACAATAACAAGTGAGGTAATAGAATGCCATAGAATTTATGTTTTGTTTGTCTATTACACAAACCTAAACGATGACAAATACTTCATTTTCACTTCTCCATGTTTTTAGATTTGAGAATGTACACCAGAGATGCTAGGTTTTTTTTCTGCTAGCAGTTGGCTTGCTTCTGTCTTTGCAGCGATTGTCTCATACATATCCATCAGTAGACAATTACATATCATCTCTGGATGGCACATCAGATGCTACAGAAGAGCACAGGATGTAAATGATGTATTCTACTGTCTTGTCTTCCCTCAGATTGAGCTAAAAAGCACATAGTGCCTATGGGTTTCATTGGAGGGAGGAAGAGTTACATCTAGTGAGAAATCTCAGCTGCCAATAAATAGTACAGTGGGGTCTTGACTTAAGAACGGCTTGAGTTAAGAACATTTTGACTTAAGAATCGCTCTCATAGGAAAATATTGACTTGACTTACATCCTTAGATTTGAGTTAAGAACTAAAAAAAAACCACGTGGGAGGCAGGGAAAATGCAAAATGTGAACTTTCAGTTAGCTGTTGGCCAGTGAAACGGGTGCCTGTCTGCTTCCTCACTCCTCCCAGCGTTTAGAGAGTGGATTGGGAGACAGTCTTCGGACTGCCTGGTACTGTACTGCCTGGACTGTATTTTCCCTGCCTTCCCTGAACCTTTCTTGACCTAAGGAAAAAGAAACAAAATATCCCCCTCTAGTGGTCGCAGGTAGAATAGCAGCTTCCCATTAGTTTCTGTGGATGGAAAAGAGCAGATACGGATCAAATGGTTCTCAATGCATTCCTATGGGAAATGCAGATTTGACCTGAGAACTTTTTGACTTGAGAACCACCTTCCAATACGGATTAAGTTCTCAAGTCAAGACCCCACTGTACCTAATTAGAAGGTGTTGAAACATAAAGAGCAGAAATTATTTCCAAGCTATGTTGATTTCTAAGCATTAAAAAAACCACCCCTACTGGTTCATCATGATTGCTGATTTATTGGATTTAAAAAAATGGAAAAATAAAATTGCCATTGCAATTTCTTTCCAAACCTCACAACTGCAGAGGCTTTGTATACTCTTGCACACAGGCTGGCAAAAACATACGGGTACAGATTCCAGAGTGTAAGTATTTGTTTTGGGCAGGGGAAATTCTTGCTACCAGGTGTTTTATATTCCATGTGCAACAAATTTCAGTGTTCTCCCTTTGTGAAAGCATTGTAAATTTTAATGTAAATGCACTATTTTGATCAGTGAGGCTTAAAAATTTTGTAAGATAACGGGCCCATAATGTTACTGTAGAAATAGTACAAATACACAACTATTCTTTTTATTTATTTATTTATTGCATTTATTGCATTTATATGCCGCCCATCTAGACATAGTCTACTCTGGGCGACTAATCCTAGTCAAATAGACTGAATTGACCCAAAAAACTGAATGGGTTTAGCTTCCAAGTAAAAACTTTAATAAAACAGTAAAAGATCAAGCCTTTGACAGGAAATCACATGATTTCCTGTCAAAAGCTTCTGTTTTTACTTGGAAGCTAAAGCCATTAAGTTTTTTTGGGACATTTCAGTCTGTTTGATGGATTGATCAACTTTTATTATGCTCTAAGAAAATAGAAAGGTTTTCTATTCAAGTGTGTTTTCACTAAATCAAGAACAAATAACTGGGTCTTGCCACAGATATGGTATTTTCTTACAAGGTTGCGAATCAACATTGTTAATTCATAGGATACTAACAAGCTGAACTACAGGTCACAATCCTGTTGGTTATTTATGCTGGCAAAAGTGCAATGGCATATATCACAGTGGTGAATTGCAGCCAGTTAGCACATTACAGCTTTTTTGTCATTATGTGCCAGCCATGTGATTTGATGTATGATCTGGAATACAAGCAGTGACTCATTAACTGCTGGTAATTTACCACTGTGATTTATGCCTGTCTGAATAAACAACAGGATTCTGGCCACCAAGTGGTGTTTAAATACAGAAATATTTTTAACTACCCTGTCAGAACATACACAGATATTTAAAATCCCTGAACTACTGCAATTTCCTTTTAAAATCAGGTGCTAAACACTTGTCATCTATAACATTCAACTCTGAAAGCATATGTGGGTATGAAAGAAAGGAGCCATGGGTATGAGAAAGCCAGGCAGCGAATATGGTAATCACTGATTGTAAAACAGTTTCCTTTGTAGGCCAAAATTTCCTTGGCAGACTGCTGATTCATTCATCTGTTACTAGCCAAACATGTAAATAATTTCCAAGTTAGTAAAATTAACACAGAAGGCTTCCAGAGAGTGAGATATGTGCCTTTTCCCCAATGTGTGTGTGTTTTTTTGTTGTTTTTTGCATTTTTGACAACATCAGTGCAAAACGATTGTCTTTTCCTATGGTGAAAGGAAATGTACACACATATAACAAGCACAAAAGGACAAGCTGATTGATCAAAAAGAGTCAACTCATAAAGGGCTAATATGCTTCCAGTTTCATTCAAGAACACATTGCCCAACAAATGGACAATTTATAGAAATGCTTTTCAAATAGTCTGGAAAATGCACAAGATTGAGACATGATTTTCAGATTGAGACTGAAAATTGTCATTTCCCACAGGGAGTTGTTTTGTTTTCCATTTTATCCTTTATCCTTGTCTCACAACTCAGGATTTATGTCCCTAATTATAATTTTAAAAAAACCACAATCAGGTCTTGCTGATAGCTTTGGGGAGCAGTGACATAAGCTTGTGCTTTACATTTCTCAGAAAAATGCCATGGGAACCTATAATATTCTCTCATCATGGGTATTGGACCCAGGGACTACTGAGATATTTTGCAAGGATTCCCCAAAATAAGTGTACTAGCTGCGATAGACAAGACTTTTAGCTGTGGCCCCCAAGGTATCTGGACCACCTAGCCCTTCCCTGTTGATTTCCTGCCATACAGACTACTCTTCCCTTCCTGTTGCTAACAGTGAGTAAAGAGGAATTTGTATGAGGTTTGTGGAATGGGGAGGAATTCATTTTGTTTTTAAACAACCAATCTCATAGGAGAAGGGCCATCTCTTTTGCAAGCTCTCCCTTTCTTCCACAGTTATAGGCA